CCCGCGGCGGAAGGAAGAGGCGGAGGCCGGGCCAGGACCCTACATGCCTTTATTACAGACTACCAAGCGTAAGTGAAATCCATCATCCAGTCACTAACTACACATCTACAGCACAGAGATCTGTCGAGAGGAGAATAAACAGTCATTAAATTATGAGATATGATTAAATCATCGACCAATAGAAAATTTATATAATAAAGCCAGAAAAAAGGTGTAAAATATAGTTTACAATAATTATTCACATTCAAGGCTGTACATCAATACATACAACACCATGGCCCCGAACATGAATTCAATCCAAATAATTCATATATTAGAATTTAAATAACACAGACTGAACTAGAGGCCAACGAGAGCCAGCAAATAACCTTATAAGAATAAAAATACAAAAGTGTGTATCTTATGTCATTGCATTATTTGCTTCTGTTTTCACGAGTTCTTGGAGGAGGGGAGATTGCTTTGTGGTGTTTGTTGAGGGGGTGTGGGGTTTTTTGTTTGGGGGTTTTTTTGGTTGGGTTTTTTTTTCTTTTTTTTCTTTTATCTGTACATCACAGTTACAGCTACAAACCAGGTAGAGAATATTACACACGTAACTGACTGCCACCAACCTGAAAACAGCGAGCATACAACTATCAAAACTGAGTATGGTTCCTGGTTCCTATTTTTTCTCTTTTGTCAGATACAGTAATTGTAAGTTCTGCTACAATTTAGAACATTTGCCACATCCAATCAGAGTTAGTACGTGGTCATAGGAAGCTTTGTCAAATGGCAACCATCTGCATTCACTGCCATGCTGACAGACAGACCAGGTTATTGGGTGCTTAAGGACCTCTCCAATTGTTTGCTGTATGAGAGCCATATTTCTTCTAAGAAAGAGGAAACATTCTTGAATTACCAGTCTTATCTGAAAGCATGCCGTTTTGGGTCAGAGAATTACTTGTCTGTAAGCTCACTCCATCAACTGATGTACAATCTGTCTTGAAGCTTTGCAGGAGCACTTCCATTTTTATTAATAAAATATTTGCATAAAATAAAGGCATTCGGCAAAATTTCAGATATAAATACCACACCTATTCCTGTAATTCACTAGTAGAAAGAATGATCAGAATCCACAGAAAACATCTTTAGGCAACTATTAATACACAAGTTCTCTCCTCAGCAAGGTGTTGGAATCAAATGTTTTGTCCACAGGCCCGATGAAGTAATTGTGTTGACTTTACCAAATCATTCAAAAGAAACTGTTAAATGTACATGTGGGAAATCCTCAGGATTCTTCAAAGTTCCCAGCACAAAATGTAATGATATAAAGCACATTAAATTAAGCATCTTGAACTATGAGAATGGATTACAATTATCACATCTTTGTTTCAACCTACAGAGTTTTTTTCCACGCTTATATATAGCAGACACTTCACAATTAAATCACATCAGAAGGAGAAAAAGTAAGTGGAGCACAGTACTATCTGATAGTTTGATGTCTTAGCAAGTGCTTAGCAAATGAGATCTGAACAGGTAATATCGGTCTGCTCACAATGCCTCAACATCATATCTGAAGCAAGTCTTCCTTAATATAAATCCTTCTCAAAACTGGACTTTAAGGCCAACGGTAATAAACTCATCTCTCCAGTTTATCAAAGCAGTTTTAAACTTCCTGTGACTGGGCTGGACACTGAATAGAAGTGTCATTCAGAAATCCTTTCTAGCAGTAGTACTTCATCCTTCCTTAAAGCTCCACCCCACAGAAAACAGATGCAATAAACACCTTCCTGAAGTTCAAATCCCAAGCAAACCAAAGTTACAGCAGTACTGACCAGATTCTTTGCAAATGATTAGCAATTGTTCAAAATGCAAAAGACAGAATGAATCAATCAACAGACTGGGTTTTCAGTAGGTTTTCAGTGAGGACTCTGAAGAAGAGTCTTCAAGTGCTTAACAACCCTTTTTGTGCTTTGAAAGACCTCGGATAAAGAGCAGAGAAATAAACTGGCTTATGTGTAGCTCTGAAGAACCTCCCTTGCACATTTCATTCCATGAACTCTCATGAATCACAGGAGTGATCTTCAGGACAAAGATCTGAAGCTACCTCAGTTCAGGTATAAGCATTTAAAACAGAAAACAGCCCTTCAAAGTATGCAGCACCTGCCAATACACATTTAAGTGGACAAACCGGTGAAACATACTTAAATCCACATGATTGCTTTGTCTTGCCTCACTCTATTCTTCTGCCATCTCTCAAAAACACAGATCTCACATACAGTACAAGACAGACAAATACCTCTCCCAGAAAAGTTCTAGTCCCTTTGCAAAAAAGCAGCAGCTAAGGAAGACTTTATTTGGGACACTGAAGTTCTAGGGGGAGGGAGGCCTGTAAGAAATGCTCAGTTTTCTAATGACAGTATTGTCAAAAGAAAAAAGGAATACTAGAACGCAGACATCAGCCTTGCAGACACCTTCTTAATAGCTTACTGCTATCAAGATTTCTTTGGCTGAAAGCTTTTGGTAGGCAGGACAGAAGTACTGAGAGAGGATTTTCAAGGTGTGAAAAACCAGAGTAATTACTCTGTTATGGCCAAATGACTACAAGTCTAAATATTACAGAAAACATTCCTAGATTTCCACCTAGAGAAGAAGCCAATGGAGATCACTCCATCTCCTAATGAAGCTAAGGTGTTCACTATTAGCAGAACAACTTTGCCAGACTTTTTATGCGAGGCCAAGTTTTGTCACACTGAACAGCAGTAGCACCATGAATCTCCATCACTGCCAAACTCTCCTGTATAAAGTTGGGAACGCATCTACATGCCTATACCAAAGACTAAATCCAAAAGCAGTAGGGTTGCCTCCAGTCTCCAGTGGACCCAATATACAGCTGGAATTTGACAGCCAGAGAACAAATGGATAGCACTGCAACAAACTTAGAATGCATGCCATCTTGGTTAGAATGGTAACTACAGGATTAATGCAGGCACAGAGAGAAGGTGTACTGTGCTATTCAGATTTTAGTGACAAGGACTGTACCTTGTACGTGATGAAATTTCTCATGATGCGAACGGAATGGTGTTCTGTCTTTCTCATCCCAGCCATTTACAGGACACCTTAGCTCCCTTCACACCAGGCACTGTAAGCCAGTGATTTACTTTTGTCAAGTCTGTGTACGTGGTGGGATAACAGAAGACTACAAGAATGTAGTTCCTCCAAAAGAAAAGCCAACTGCACTCTCTCCCCTTTAAAGACTGAAAGATACTGGAAAAGCTGAACTGTCATCAAGTTCAACCACATAACACAGTTTTTAAGAGACCAATAATACATCTACTTCACCCTGTACAACAACAAAATATCCAACATTCATGTGTTTTCTGAGAAATCCTGATAAGCTACTGCTTTTAAAATACCACTTCTAGAACAGTAGCCCGTGGGTTTTTTCAACATTGCAGTGGAACATTGCTTTCTTTGGTGGGAGGAAAAGCACATCACAGTACGAGACCTCAAAATGCAAAGAGATGGTATGTGTAGAAGGTGAATAAATAGGTGTGATGTTTATACTGCTTTTAAAACAAGGAAGCAATGCCTTTGTCCAGACCTAAGTCATTCCTCTCTGCAAGGTTCATGAACAAGGGCATGTTGAAAATACCATTAGGGAAGTCGTTTTTAGCACATAGAAAGTTATGTCTTTGCAACGTTACAAGAAATGTTTGACCACAAAAAAGCCTTAATTTGAAGAGGATAAAAGAGATCGATATGAAAAATATTTTCATTTTATAGATATGCCTTAAGTACCATATATTTTCCCCTTTGTATCAATATTTTCCTTTGAATTTTTAACCAGATTACTTTATGGATCTAGTATTTCAATTGCTTAAGTTTTTTCAGAGTTGCTAAATATTTGGCCAAGACCAAAAATAGGATTATTTGTACATTTCATTATACAATGAGACAAAAAAAAGTCAAGTAATCAATTGTACAAAGCTTTCACACTTCCTTCTCTACCCAGGTAAATAGGTTGGCCCCACTAAAACGCACAATACATGCACACCCTGGAAAGAAAGCTTCTAGCCCTCATCTCCTGAAAAGGTGAAAAACTATTTACTACTTCAATAGTAACCTTTTCCCCCCCATACTAACTAGTTAATTTTTTAGTTAGCATTAGTTAAAAGCATGCTGGTAAGTTTGTCCCTTGATTAAACACACATATGATTCATATTAAAATTTAAAGTGGATGTTTAAAATCTTATATGCTTCAGAAGCCAACATTTCAATTTTAGAAAATTTTCAGTGCCATGTTCAGCATTTTACTCTCTCACAACCTGTAACATTGGAGCCTGTCTGCCAGACACATACATCTGATTCATTCACATAATTAATAAAGTACCACATAAATCCTGCAACCAGAACTATATTAGGAATTACACAAGGGTGCAACTGACCTGGCTACAAATGCCATATACCAATAAGCTGGGGGACTGTGAGGAAAGGAAGAGAAAAAAAAAAAAAAAAGAGGTGGTGCTTAGGAGAGGCATATAAAAGCTCCCTGATGAAATACAGTTTAACGATAATCTGAAAGTCACAGAAAACTCCAGCCCCATAAAATGCAAGGCTGGTACATGATTCGGCGTGTGTGCGTGTGGATTGGTTTTAACTCATCTTAAGTGAAGCTGGTAATGCAAGGTCTATCCACTAGTCTGCAGCAGAAATTGAGCTGAAGTGCACAAAAGCAAGATCTTCACTGCAATGATATGCATGTGGAAGCCTCAACAGAAGCACAAAGAGCGAGCAAAGCGACCCTGAATTCCATTATGTTTTTGCTTTTCTTTTTTTCTTAAAAAAAAAAAAAACAAAACAGAACATTTCAGACATATGCTTCCCCTTGAGATGGTAATATGTGGGTTGAAAAGATTCCTCTGATCGGCTGCACACGGAGTTCTAGCAGCAAGTAGAGAAACTGGGAAATTTTGGATGAGCTTTACTATTTAGCAGCATTCTGGTGGTATCTGTGCCGCCAAACTTCATGTATCTTTTTGCACCATTTATGAGCATTCCCACTCGGGTCCATCAGGTAATATGTCCTGTTTGGCTATAAGTAAACAACATTTTAATGAGTACTCCAAGCACAGTTTAACCAAAAAGCAGTAATTATTCTGCACCTACCAATAAAATAATTATTCCTAATCAGTTCATAACCTTTCCAAAAGTTAAATTCAGTTACAGTTATATTAACATTATATATTACTGAATAACATACATCTGGCATCTCAATATTGTTAAGCAGTCAAAAGCCAATATATTGTTGGTACACTCATTGTGATCCACTATATACAAAGAGGGCTAAATTTTAAGAGTCCTTCTTAAGAACTTCTTTCAAATCCCAAAATCCACTTATAGCTTATTTACACACGAATAATTAAAAATACAATTGTATTTTTGTGGGAAATGCCTATGTCAGGGGTTTTTTGTTGGGTTTTTTGGGCTTGGGTTTTGTGTTGGTTTTTTTTTTTAAATTAAGGCTATCAACACTTTTATTTAAGGAATTATATTTTCTCCAGAAAAATTTGTTACCAACTTACAATAATTGCCCAAGGACCTTAGTACAACTTACAAAGAAATTAAAGAAAGTCACTTACTGTGTGAACAAAAAATGTCTTAAAATTCTTGGCTTCTGGCCGCAACTCTAAAGACCATGGAATTTCTCCTTTTAGAACTTTATTGACAGGATCCACATAATACAGGTGGGGCCCTTCTGTGAGCAGCAATTGGCGCCGACGTGCAAACAATCCCTAAGAAGAAAATTAGAAGCAGCAATGCAAAAAAAAAACATGAGGAAAAAAAATGTAAATGTGTAGATCTCTGAATTTAACCACAGAGGTAGAATTAAAGCAGCTCAGTGATAGGATAGTATGTTTGAGTTTGGGGGACTTCCCCCCCACCACTTTTGTTCTACCTATTTGACCTCACTCCTTTTTTAGGCAGTTGCAGTGCATTCCTACTACATGGTGAAACACAAGTACTATTTTAAGAAAGCATCTTCAAGTTCTAACAAAACATACACCAACTAGCTGTACAGAGTGAAGCAAAATCTATTTGTCAAAGATTCCAGCACAGAAATCAATACTCATGATTTTGTGGAAAAGATTAGGAACAAGCAAGTCGTAACTTAGATGAAAGAGAACCTACATTCCTGTAAAGCTGACACAGACTATCATTGCTCATCTGTATCATGTTAAAGTTAAAACAAGCTCTTCTAATGTCACCTCTCCCTCTCTCAGGATACAGGCACTAGTTGGATCCAGGAAAAACACCACAGTTAACAACAATATGAGCTTGTAATTTATTTTCCGATATTTGTGGCTCAATCCACATGCAGACGTGCATCAAGACAAAGCATTTAGGGGGCTGTACCAGACTAGGAGGACGAGGGGGAACAAAAGCTTGTTTACTACAGTCTCAAAATGAAAGCATCAATAGCACATTTACTTTTAGTCTTTTCCAAAAAATCAGGAGCACACCACTAAATTCAGAAAACACAATCTATTCACAAGAAAACACTAAATTTTAAAAAATAATTTGACAAGTTAAACAGGGAAGCTCTAAAACAGGTTCCTTATCTATGCTGCAACTGCACAAAAATGCGACAGCTGAATCTTGTTACAGGGAATTAAGAAACACCCTTACCTTTCTTTTGTCCACTGGACCCATTTTTAGGATTAAGTTATTTTCTACAAACTGATGCCTTAAAAAAAAGAAAAATAACTATTACTCCAGAAGTAATTCTTCCACAGAAACAGCTATTATCATCATCATCATCAAGCATTTTTCCATGTCTCTCCCTAGTGTCTCCTTTTCTGCCAAAGAGTCCTGAACAGCTTTACTAGGTGAGTTTTGGACTCTTCCTCATTCCACACCAAAGAGTTTTTTCTAAATCTGATTGGGGGGGGTGG